TGTTTTGTGCTAATTGGATATTTTTAAATATTCTGTTTTATTTACTTCATTGGCTTCTTAGCTCTTTAAAAAAATTTTATAGTGTTTAAGGTTAATGCTATCCTATTCTCAACTTTTAAAGTCTATTTAGATTCAGTGTTATTCCAGTTAACACCTAACCCTTCACAGTTCCAGCTCCAAACCTGATGATTCCCACTTCTCAGTTTCTACTTCCCATTTCCCAAATATAATAAACATTCAACAGTAAAATTCCGTTAGCTTGTCCCTTATCCATTGTACCTTCTTTTGCACATCTTTTTTTATATATTAAAAACTCTACCTTGTGAAATTATTATTGCTTTTGTAAAAAATAGCCTATCTTTTAAGAAAATAATAAGGGGGAATAACATCTTATATTTCTGTTTATTTTTATCACTCTTCCCATCTATGGACATGACTTTTCATATAGTATAATTTTCCCTTTTTTATTTAGCATTTTTTGTAGTTTGTTTGTTGCAAATAATTTATGATCTTTTGTTCATAATGCCCATTTTACCTTATTTTTGAAGATATCCTTTTTTCAACATGTTAAAGATATTGGCTCATTGTTAGCTTGCCTACCTTGTTTAGATGAACAGTCAGCAATTATTTTTTATTATTATTCCCTATAGTAATGTTCCTTTTCCTCTGATTGCTTTATCTTTTGTTTTCAGTGGTTTGACCATGACGTGTTTGGGTATTTCTTTAATTTGATCTTTTTTAGGATTTTTTCAAGTTCTGGATCCTATAAGTTGATTTTTCCCCATGAAATTTAGCATATTTTCAGCCATGATTTCTTTAAATACTTTATATTCTATTTTTTTTTCTTCCTAAGACTACTATTATACATATGTTAGTTATTGGATATTGTCCCCCATTTCTGTTCATTAAAAAATAAATTGTGCCTTTATCCTTCAGATTGCAGAACTTCAAGTGATTTCTCTTTCATCTCACTGACTCTTCTACTATTTCTGGCCTGCTGTTAAATTCGTGTAGTGAATTTTACATTTCATTTATTGTTCTTTCCATTATAGAGTTTCTATTTGCCTTTAAAAATAGATTTCATTTATTTTCTGAGAGTCACCATCTGTTCTTTCATTAAGACTATATTTTCCTTTAATTCTATGAACACATTTTCTTTGTTTTTTTTTGAATATATGTTAATAGCTGATTTAAAGTCATCATCTGCTAAATGCAAGACCCATGCCATCTCTGGGTCAGTTTCTTTTGATGGCGTATTCTTTACTATGTGTCACATTTTTTGTCTATCTAGTAATCTAGTAATATAAGTAGTTATATACTGGACATGGTAAAAATGTTTAGTAGATGATCACCTTGAATTCACGTATCCCAGGGTATACATTTTGTTAGGGCAGACCTTTGGAAAACCTTACATGTGTCAAAAGCCACTCTAACTGTTTCACTTAATCTCTGAACTCTATGTCTCCTGTAGATCTTGTCAAGATTTAGCTTGAAAGCTTTGTTAGGGTGAATCTAAAACATACCTTATTTTAGCTCATTATCTCTACTCACAAAGCATGACTCATAAAGCAGCCAATTTCTCAGCTGGCTGCCTGGGGTATTAGACTGCACTAATGAGGTATCTCCACTCTGGGTGACATGAACTCCGATATCCACTGTCACTGCTTGACCTCTAATTTCTCTAACATCTCTCATGCATTCTCAATCAGTAGCAGTAACTCTCTAAAATGCCTCATGTATTCTTGTTCTGGACATGTATAGCTCAATCCTTGGCCAAGAACTCATAGGGAAATCTGCTCAGATATCTGAAACCTCCCTTCTGAGCAGCTACTTCCTTTCTGGCTTCTTGCCTTGCATATTCCGTTCACTTCAGCTTCCTTGAACTCTAATCTCTGCCTTCTAAGAGCTGCAGGCCCTTTGCTTTGCTTAGATTCCAGCTTGCTTTGCTGAGGTTGGAAAGTTATCACTAAGGAGATAACTGGGACTATTTTGGAGCTTTCCTGTTACTCATAAAGTACAGTTTTGTACAATGTTGCACAATGCTTGAAAATATTGTTGTACAATGCTTGAAAATATTTTCTGAATATATTTTGGCCACTTTATGGTCATTTGTACAGAATGGACTAATCCAGGACAAGTTACTTCATTATAGCCAGATACAGAAATTCCTCATACTTTCTTTCTGATTGAGGTTTTCTATTTCCTTCTGTTCACTCTGCTGGCTTGAGGTTAATCCACTTGAATTCTATTTTATAGAAATTAATCTTAGAGTCATTACTTTCATAATCGGATTCTAAAGTTAATTCATCTCTCTTGTCTCCTTCTCAGCATTGCAAGATATTATAACTGAAATTTTATCACCTCCCTCTTTTTTGGTACAATCACTTAGCTCTACATTGTTTTGTTACTTATTGAATTAAACATGATTACTTTAAACAGTTATTGTTTATTAAGTTTACCTACCTATTCACTATTTTTTTCCAGTTCTTCTTGTATCTCATACTTATCTGAGATTCTTTTCTTTCTGCCCCAAAATCTTTCTTTAAAGTATCCTTTCCCTTGGGTCATTTGGTTGTAAACCTTATTTTGATCCATCTGAATATATATTTACTTCATTTTTGTTCTCAAATTATAGTTTGAGAATAGAGTCTTAACTGACATTTTTTTCTCAGTACTAAGACTATATTTTTCTAGTCTTCTGACATCCATCATTGCTTTGAAAATCTGTTGATGGATGATATATTTGTGATTTGTTTGTTGGTAATTGTCTCAGCTTGCAATTAAGTAGAGTCAACTCAAGATGAGGATTCTCAGTTTTGTTAGTTGGAATCAGAAAAATAAAAATAATAATAAAAAAAAAACAAGATAGAGCAGGAAAATCGCAAGTTAAAGATGCGACTTAGCAGAAGATCAGCCTGGTCCCATAAGAAGCTCTGCAACCTGAGGGTTCCACAAAAATGTCCCCCATTCACGTTAGGGTACTGGCCTTTGGTATCCTTTTATAAGTCATGCTTTGGCTTTAGGCTGTCTCTAGAGGGAGTGTGAAACTTTTGAGACATTTCTAGTGATATGAGGACAATTATCAATAGGAGGGTGAGTGTGGGTCTACTGTTTTGGTGAAGGAACTCTGGGCAGGGCACCAAGAGTCAATCTATTATTTCAGGCTGTAAGAAGATCTCTTTGTCCTTGGTATTGTACTGTTTTACCAGTTTCTTGGTGCAAATTTCTTTTTATTTATTCTGCTTGGAAAACATTTTGTTTCCTGAGCCTGAAGATTCAATTTTGGAAAATTGAAACTTCTTTTTTTTTTAATATTGTCTCTTCTAGATGACAAAATTTAAGAGTAAATGCCTCCTTAAACTTTTTGCCTTTTTCGCTTGCCTTGACCTAGGCTTGGCCCCGGTCTTTGCATTCTCTCTTCTGTCTTCTTCAGGGAATCTGATTGGTCACAAGTTAGAACTTCCTATTTTCTCTTCCACCTTGCATAGGTTTTATCACTTTTTCTGTCTTTCTTTTATTTTATCTAATTATTCAAATGTATTATTCAGTTTATTAACTCCCTCTCTGAAGTTGTACTTAATTTTCTTCAATGCATCTATGCAATTATAATTTATTTATTTAATTTTTAATTTCTAGAAGTTACTTTTAGTCTTTTAAAATTCTAATTGGTTTTAATATCCTGTTGTTTCTTTGTTACATCTTTAGTTTCTGTAAATGGTTTGGATGTGTGTTCTCTCCAAATGTCATGTTGAAATGTAATCCCCAATGTTGGAGATGGGGCCTGGTGTGAGGTATTGAATCATGGGGTAAGATATCTCATGAATGGCTCAGCACTATCCCCTTGGAGTAAGTTCTAGCTCAGTTAGTTCACATGAGATCTGGTTGTTTAAAAGGGGCTGGCTACTCCATGTCTCTCTCCTACTCCCACTCTTGCCTTGTGGTGTGTCTACTCCCGCCTCACCCTCCACCATGTTTGTAAACTTACTGCTGAACTCACCAGAAGCCAAGCAGATATTGGTGCCATGCTTGTATAGCCTGCAGAACTGTAAGCTAATTAAATCTCTTTTCTGTATAAATTACCCAGTCTCAGGTATTCCTGTATAACAACACAAGAATGGCCTAATACATTTCCTCTTTTATACTCTCAGGGGTTTTTAACACACTGATTTTATTTTGTGTTATCTGACTGTACAAAATCTGAATTCCTTGGCAATCTAATTCTACTGTTTGTTGCTTGTTTGCACTCTCCTTTATAAAGGCTTACCTTGGGTAGGTTGTGTAATTTTGGATTGTGAACTTATTATTGGTTTATTTAAAATTCTGGGAATCCTGAGATGTCTAAGATGAGGTTAAATTCCTTTGAAGAGGATTTAATTTGCTCTTTAAGTTAATTTATCTTCTGGAAGATTTTCAGGACTTATAAACACTAGAAAACAAAGTCCAAAAGCCATAGGGGAAGGATTGTGGATTATGCATTTTTAGAAGAATTCTTTTTTTTTGCTACTCCAAACCAGAAATGTCACAAATATTTCCCTTGTCACTTACCCCTGTTAAGGGGCATTTTAAAAAAATTATCCACCCTTTTGGACTTTTGAGTACTGTAAACTCCAACAGCTCATCTTTTGCAAGCCTAAAATCTTCTCCACTATTTCCTATAAGGCTATTAAAATCCAAGGTTCCAAGATCCTAGTGTTAGTAAACACCACCAAAGTACCCATAATTTTGGCACTAGGATGTTAACCATTGTTTCAACTCTGTCTTCATTTTGCCCTTGTGAGATCATCCTTGCTTTTTGTGAATTCAAAAGTGCATTTTAAAGTATGTTTGTTGTATTTTATTACGCATTTCTAAATGTTTTGAAGCAGAAGAGCGTTTGAGAATTATTAGTGTCTATATTGCCAGAAGCATAAATCTACTTTATTGAGCACAATGTAGTTTTTATTTTTGTTTCCTTTTTCCATCATACTTTGATAGTGGGATATGGAGGTATTCAACTATAATTCCATTTGCTTAGATTGTTTATTTTTTGAATTTAGATTTTTTTGGTTTTCTGTACTTATGTGCTTTCCACATTGCAAAATTTGTTTCTGCTGAATTATTTCTGTTGTTTATGTTCTCCATCAAAATTGTTGAATCCTAGAAGAATAGAGGCGAAGACTGAGAGTTAATTTTATCTAATTTTTAAAATGTTAATTCCTTTGCACACCTAAATTTATATACTATGTTTTATACATGATTTAGTGCGTTATGCACCAAAACTACCTACTAGTAAAACTTCCGTCCTCTTTGGGCTAATTAGAAGTGTTATGAAAATGGGAAAAGGGTTCTTCATGTCTCTTTTCAAAAGTTATTGTGAATAGTAAGAGCAATAATATATATGTAAAAGAAATTCCAAGTGATTAGTTTGAGCAAAGGGTCAATAAAAAGTGCTTGCAGCATTTCTTAAATATAATGTGTTATTTCAGTTACACTGTGAATACTTAAAATCGTATTATTTTATCTGTCATTGCTTTTTATCCAATGAGCTAATGAGTTATTTGAGCCTCCTGCACTGATGCTAAAATTTCTGTGTTATTGATATCTTTTCTAGGCTCTTAATGTTCCTCTTTCTGTCTGTTTTTGTGGGATGTGTGTGGTGCTTCTGTCTTTTTACATTTTGTGCTGGTGGTGTGTGTATACCAGTATATTACATTGATAATTATTTTTGATATTTCAATTGAATTTACTTAAATATAAATCTCTAAGAGATAAATATATTCATTTTACATAACTCCAATATGGTTATCACACGTGACACAATTAATATTAACTCATTACCATCTAATGCCCATTCTATAGGCAAACAGTTCATATTTTCCTATTGGACAAATTCTAAACAATTACTTTCCTTGCTACCATATGCTCAAGTAAATTAATATGCTTATCCTACTTAGCTCATATACTGGAATATCATTCCAGAGCCGATGCAAAAAGACAAAGTGATAAAGAAATTTCATGATTTCTATCAAGATATGGGTACTAGAATTTCACTAAAACAGTGTAAAGCACTTACCAACACAGAATTTTGTCTTAATTTAAAACTGAAATAAGATTGATTTTCTTTTGTATTAATTTACTGTTTTAGAAGTTTATTTGATGGTTTTCAAAGGGGTGTTTCTCTTTGAGGGTTTTATTTTGTTATTATGTTTGGTTTTAGACATTGTTGATGGTGATTGTTTTAGCCAGAAGCAAGAATCCTGTATTACTGCTAAGTCATCTTTCTGGAACTTCTTCAGGACAGCTTATACAAAAAGCAAGAAACACCTAGGGCAACTGGTAAATGAATACCTGATAGCTAAGAAAACCTTAGAAGAATTTACACAAGACTTAAGATGAACATTGTGAATACAGCAGATAGTATAAAATCAAACAGGATTTTGAGAAAACAGTAGCTCCTCTACTACTGATCTTTTAACTTAGGAACTCTCATAGACATTTACTAGGCTACACACCAGAGCTCAAGTATGTCAGTTCTGCCTATTATTTCCAGCTGATGGCACTTGTAGACACATATGGGGAATACAGAACCTTTGAAACAACTAGTTTTGCAGACAGCCCTTGGAATCTAATATGTTTATAAGAAGATAAGCTTCTGTTTTAAGGTCTCAATAACTAACTCAGGAAAATTAAATAATATTCCAGGAAGGGATGCTGATAAGGGAGAGAAGCACTCCATACTATTAATTATAACAGACTAGAACACTTAGTGGTAAAATAATTACAATAATAAGTTTCATAGAAATTAAGGAAATAGTTGAAGGAAGAATTAAGAAAGCCCTAGTTTAGAGCACTATATCATCTAAAGCAAGTTTCTCAAACTTTAATATGCCTTCTGATCATCTGGCACTCTTGTTGAAATGAAGAATCTGATCTGACTCAGCTGGTGGAGCCTGGCATTCTGTATTTCTAATGAACTCTAGGTGATGGTGATGCTGCCAGTTTATGGATCACCGGTTGAGTATAAGAGGTCTAGACTCTCGGAATTTGACTTTGGCAATGGTGTCACACAGAAGGTAATAAAATACCTCAAATGCAGTTCAGAGAATAGTGGTGGATGTGTGTGTGTGTGTGTGCGCGCTGCAATGTATAGAATAATATATGTAAATTTCTTTAAACTCTTAGGCGATAATAACTATTTTGAATTAAAGATATAATATGTTTAAAATTCTAATGAATGCATGAAAATGTAGAAAATAGCAAAGACATACAAAGAATAGAATTTGTGGGGGACATACATTTAAAGTAAAATGAGAAACTTCACAGTAAGAAGAATACATTCCAATAATAAGACATAAGGACAGAATTTGTGTTAGACTAACAGATGCACATGTGGAAAGAACAGAAACACATTAGCTCAGCTGAGAAGTCAAAGGATAAGGGTTGGTGGCAGTTCCCTGCCTTCAAATCTTACCTTTGCTCAATGGCTGTGCCTTGGGCAACATGGTAACCAAACTGTGCTTCAGCTCACTCATCTATAAAGTGGGGATAATAGTGTAATCAGCCAGGAAGGTTGTTATGAGTATTTATTTATTTATTTATTTATTTATTTATTTTAGAACTAAAACTGTCTATATTTGCAGATGACATGATTACATAGAAAATTTAATATGCAAGACAGCAACTTAGAGCAATGCCTGGCTTCTATTTGGCAGTACTGAAGGATTAGTTTTATTATTACAATAATGATAATAATGTTATTTCTAAAAATTTAAGGCTAAGAGATTTAAAGGATAGTTCTCAAAAGATAGCAGCTGGCGAGGTATGGTAACTCACATCTGTAATACCAGCACTTTGCGAGGCTAAGGTGGGCGGATCACTTGAGGTCAGGAGTTCAAGAACAGCCTGGTCAACATGGTGAAATCCCGTCTCTACTAAAAATTACAAAAATTAGCCAGGCATGGTGGCACGAGCCTGTAACCCCAGCTACTCAGGAGGCTGAAGCAGGAGAATTGCTTGAACTTGGGAGATGGAGGTTGCAGTGAGCCGAGATCACATCACTGTACTCCAGACTGGGTGACAGAGCAAAACTCAGTCTCAAAAAATAAATAAACAAATAAATAAATAGAAGATTTCTTGAGTCCATGTTGCTGCTAAATTGTCTATGGGAGAAAAGTTGGGTTGTTTATTTAAATAAACAATACGGAGTGAAAAAATAATTAGAGAAGGATGTTGTCATAAATTAAGTAAAAATCTGATTATTAAAATTTAAAAAGTAATGCTAGACTTGAATTATTCTTAGGATTCAGCTTCTCCATATGCTTTAAACATGGGATTTAGCTTTGTTATCTTCGTTATTTTATTTCTTCCTTTCTTCTGGCATGGATTAAGCATATAGTTTTAAATTCCTGGGCCTTGATCATTACCTTTGTGGGTGTTCGTTATTGATGATTGATTTAGGTATAATTATAATTCAGTAAAGTTTTTTCTATCTTATTGCTTTTAGACAGAGACAAAGATGTATTTACTGTATTTCTTTTTCTGTTTATATTTTCTTTCCAAAGTTTAAATGCAGATACTTCAAAAACCTACAATTACAAACTTTGCTTTACTTGAGTTTTTTTCTGGAAAAAAAAAAAAAAGCTCCATAAAATTAATAGGCAAGAGAAAATTAGATAGGAATCCAATTGGTGGAATATTTAGTGTTTACAAAAGGAAATAATTTCAGAGGTCAGGCATAGCACTGAAAGTCTGACGCTGGGTGTTTCCTGGCTAAAGTTGCCCAAATTTTAAGAATTTCTCAAATATATATACTGTTAAGTATAAAAATATGCTTTAAAATTGAATAGACATAGATTCTATGCTCAATTAAACATACATAAAAATGTTTAAATAATCTGAGGAGAAATCTAAGTCAAAAATATAAAAACAAAATGTATTCTAGGGAAAGACTGCTGTTGTCTTCAGGCGCAGCCCTGAAAGGTCGGTTCTCCAATGATCACACCTGTAGTGCTAATGAGGAACATCTGCAGATTGAAAGCTGCCCTTTTATTTCTTCTTGATTACCTTTAAAATCAGGAATTATTTTAAAAATTGGCCAGGTATGGTAGCTCATGCCTGTAATCCCAGCACTTTGGGAGGCCGAGGTGGGCAGATCATCTGAGGTCAGGAGTTTGAGACCTGCCTGACCAACATGGTGAAACCCCGTCTCTACTAAAAATACAAAATTAGCTGGGTGTGCTGGCGCATGCCTGTAATCCCAGCTACTTGGGAGGCTAAGGCAGGAGAATTGCTTGAACCTGGGAGGTGGAGGTTGCAGTGAGCTGAGATCACCCTATTGCACTCCAGCCTGGGCAACAAGAGTGAAACTCCGTCTCAAAAGAAACAGACACACAAAATCTAATAGTGCCCATTTTTTAAGGGCCATAGACAGATGAATTTGGATCCTAATGTCACTTGAAAAGCATATTGAAGGAAAACATGCATATGGAAAAGTGAGAAAATCTTAAGGGTGCAACTCAATACATTTTTTGCAAAAGGAATATACCTGAAGATCCAACACCTAGATCAAGAGACAGAACATTTTCTTAACCTCAGAGGCTCTCCTCATGTCCTCTTTCAGGTACTGTATCCTCGGAGCATTTCCTCCCACTTTTATATAAATGTGTATTAGTTTTTCAGGGCTGGCATAATAAAATACCATAGATTGGGTGGCTTAAGAAACAGAAATTTATTTTCTCACGGTTTTGGAGGCTGGAAGTCCAAGATTAAGGTGCCAGCAGGGTTGATTTCTCCCAAGGCCTCCCACCTTGACTTGCAGACAGTATCTTCTTGTGCCCACACAGCCTGTGCTTATGCATCCCTGGCGTCTTTCTCGCATCTTACAAGGGCAACAGCTGCATTAGATTAGAGCGCCACTCTAAAGACCTAATTTAACCTTAATTTTCTCCTTAGAGGCCCTATTGCCAAAGACAGTCTAATTGAGTGTTAGAGCTTTGCCATATGAATTGTGAGGGGATGCAATTGAGCCCATGACAGAATGTTTTCCTGTAGTACATACTCTTTCCATATGACTTCTTTCTTTAACATGATTTGTGATATTCATTCATGTTGTTCATGTAATCAGGGCTTCTTCAGTCTCATTAATGCAGAGCATTTCATTGTATGAATATATCTTAATTTATTAATCAGTTGTACTGTTTATGGAAATTTGGGTTATTTCTGGTTTTTTCTTATTGTGAATAGTGCTACTAAGAATATTGTACATAATACAATATGTATTCTTGTACATAATATTCGGCAACTTTTATAGTGGAATTGCACAGCCATAAGGTGAGATACTACCAAAGGAGAGTTACTATCAAGCTCTTTTCCAAAATAATTACATGAATTTCTACCCCACCAGCAGGGTATGGCAGTACCATTGTTCCACATCCTTGCTAATTCTTGCTATCATCTTTTTTTTTTTAAATTCAGCGTCATTTGTTTGCATGTAGTGATTTCTCATTGTAATTTTAGCTTGCATTCCAAAAGACTAATAAAGGTGAGGGATTTTTAGTATGTTTATTGAAAATTCGAAAGCCTTCTTTTGTGAAGTTTATGACTTTTGCCCATTTTTCTATTGAGTTGCCTTTTTTCTTATTCATTTATAGACGTTTATTGTATATATTCTGAGTATTGCAAGTTTCTTTTTATACTCCATGGCTTATCATTTCATCTTCTACTTGGCATCTTTTGATAAACAGAAGTTTTTTATTTAAATGCAGTCAAACTTTAATGTCTTCCCTTGACGGTCACCACTTATATTCTCTTTAAGAAATCACGGTCTGCCCCAAAGGGAAAGATAATTTCTTTTAAAAGCTTTATTGTTTTGTTTTGAACATGTAAATGCACAACCTTCTGGAATTGATTTTTGTGTATGTAGGAGTCAAGATCCACTTTTTCTCCACAAATGCATATTTAATTCATTCAGCACCATTTAGTAAAGCAATTGCCCCTTCTGTACTGTTCTACGTTGTCAAACTTGCCATAATTTACGTGTGTAATTTGTTGTTATAACTTGTGTAAGTTTGTTTCTAGACTTCCTCTTTTGTTTCATATATCTATTTATCTGTCTTTGTACCAGTTACTGTCTTAATTGCAAAAGCTTTATAATAAGTTTTGATATCTGGCAATTTAAAAATTCTAGTTTTGTCTTCCTTGGCTAATCTTGGTGCTTTGTATTCTTGCACAAATTTTAGCTTGTTATCTTATATATAAAAAAAAAAGACTACTGGAATTTTGGTTGTGATTACCATGAATATCTAGATTAATTTGAGGATTGACATCCTCATAATTCTGAGTCTTCCAATGTGTGAGCATGACGCATCTCTCTCCATTTATTTTTGTCTGCTTTATTTCCTCTAAATACTATTTTGTAGATTTTTGGTGTAGATATCATGAACATCTTTTGTTAGATTTTATTCTGAGTATTTGAGATATTTAATTCTATTTTAAATGTTATAATTCTTACTTTTTGTTTGTTCATTATGGTAGCATAATTTGTTTTTGTACAATAACTGAATTCAGTAACATTGCTAAATTTACTAATTAAATCTAATAGTTTTCTGTGGACTCTTTAAAAACCGTTATTTTCATTTTAATGTATTTCGTCATTAAAAGAAATGAATTAAAATTATTTTCATTGATATTTCTATTGAAAATAAAATTGGAATTTTTATTTTAAAATATTAATTGAATAATAACATTAACTTATAGTGAAAAGAAAAGCTGGGCTATAGATGAGAGTGTGGAATAGTTCAACAGCATGTGAGCAGATGCTAGAAAAACTGGAACCACTGCCTCTTCTCCGTCTTCATAAGCATAATACTCTTCAGTAAATGAGTCTGCCTTTCTGGTCTTTAGTTTTTATATCTACAAAATTATGATACTGTACTACATGAGTTTAAGTTCTGTTTTATCTGGGATGGATGACGAAGTTTTTGCTAAATGATTGTACTTTAGACTTTTTTCCTTTTCTGCTTTTTCTTTTATAGTCTTGTGATGATGGGGATAATGGGCCTCATGTGACCTCATTCTGGGGAAGGGTACTAGGTGGGACAAAGTCCACCTGCACTCCGCCATCTCCTATTCAGGGTATTTGAGAACTTCTGTTGCTCCTGGATACCAGGTGCTGGCTATTGAGATGATGCAATTTTGTCTCAGGTTCATCTCTTTAGAGACTGTCCTCCACTAATGCACCCTAAGTGTTCCTATATCATGTTAAATGTTGAATGATGTTTTTTTCCCCCTAAAAATCTCAAGTTCTTTTGAGTCTACATCCTGAAAAGCCATCTGCTAGTCCTAATGCTTCTATTACCTTCATTCCACTTTCTTGTGGGGGATTTCACTTAGAGAGAAGGGAAATGAAGACTTCATGTTTGACCTTCCCCTCTGTTTCTTTTCCTCTTGCCTATACACTTGAGTTTGAGGTAGTTTTTTATATTCTTTACATCATATCCTTTTCTCCTCTTTTAGCATGGTGAAAGTCCTTGATCTAG